GTCACTCCTTCACAGGGGGCGGTCGTGTAGCCTAGTGGTTAAAAGCGTTCGCTCGTCACGCCGAAGATCTGGGTTCGATTCCCGACATGGGTACAATGTGTGAAGCCCATTTCTGGTGTCCCCCGCCGTGATATTGCTGGGATATTGCTAAAAGCGGCGTAAAACCATATTCACTCACTCACTCCTTCACAGGGTCTAGACATGGATAAACATCCAACATCCGTCCATCCTGATCTGATGATCAAAAACAGGATATCAGCTTTTGACAAAAACTTAGCCAAGCTTTCTCTTACCGCCTCCTTCAAAGCACCCAAGTACAGGAACCATCTGTGTCATGGATACTAGACTGGCATACATCAAGACGAAAATTGATTGCTCCATCAAGTCTCTTTCTATAATGGCATCCACCTCTTCAATGGCCAAGTCTCTGCCACCCACTCCAGTGTCTCCACGGCTTGAGACAAGACTGCCTTCAAGGCCTCGGCAGAAGACCTTCAAGCCATACGGACATGCCTTTCATGGCAGTAGCCATGGCAAGGGAAAGTCTACTGGAACCTACCAGCCCCACTGTGACCATTCCCATTGAGGGAATGGTGACACAAGAATAAGTGATGATACGATGGATGCCAACGACTCGAACCTCCCATCCCTAGTTCCAATTGTCGAGACACCTGTAGGTTGGAGAATAGGACTCTACTAGCAGAATTGGGACATCCTGGGGGGGGCCAATAAGTTGTCAACATCCTGCACAACCGGTTTCAACTCACACTGAGAGATGACCCGCCACTGACGTCGTCACCCATAGCAGATACCTGCCCCCCAGCACAACAGCAGCTCCTTCTCTCCAACATCCACATGCTGCTGGCCAATGAGGCCACAGAGATTGTCCCTAACACAAGGTTTCTACTCGCCAATATTCCCCGTCCCCCATGAAGGATTCGGACTCAGGGATGTGGTCTTCGCTCATCATCAGTGGCACATCAACAACCTAGAAATGGAGGCTCTCATCCTGGCTCTCTCTTACTGAAAACAGGCGCTTCAGCACTCAGATCACGATATCCACAGACAACATCACTGTCGTTGGTGCCTCTGCAATTAGAGGACAACCCACTCCTCCTCCCTGTTCTGACGTTCTGGTTCTTCCAACTAGTTGATCAACTGGAGCTCAATTTGTCAACACCTCGGCTACCCCGGCTACACCAACATCGACCTATTTGCCACCAGCCAGAACTTTCAGGTCGAGACCTTCATATCTCCAGTGCTGGATCCACAAGCCTGGGCAGTCGATGCCTTCATTGTCCCCTGGTAAGAACTAAAACTGTACGCTTTTCCACCACCAGTGATCCTTCCCAGGGTAGTTCTAAAGATTAGGTCGACCGAGAGTCTCGCTGTGACTTTAATAGCGCCTGCGAGAGGCTGGTTCGTGGATCTCAATGAGACGTCAGCCATCTTCATGCCTGGTCCATCTACAAAGAGCCCTAAGCGCCAAGGGTAGCTCGTCAGGGGCGGCGAAAGCAATCACCTTGGCCGACAGACCTTCCACCAGGGGCCTTTATGACGACATGTGGTTTTCCTTCGAGAGTTTCTGCAATTCTTGACAGAATTTCTACTATTTCTGTGCCTTTGTCTGTGGGGCAGCACCATCAAGACCTACCTTTTGGCCCTTAACTCTGTCTTGGCAGTTCCGGAAGATTGAAAGAAAACTAAGATTCCGGAACTCCCAGTCTTCCTCTTGGCTCTGGCAACAGCAGCACGATTGAGTGAACTGCATGCTCTGGATAGCACCCATGTTAGTTTTGAGTGTGGAGCGCATAGGAAGCCATTCATCTTGGGCTGTGCAGGGACTTCATAGCCAAGAATCAACTCCCAGGACAGCCAGATAGATCCTTCACCATCCTGTGCCTATCTTCAATACTTGGGTTTGAAGATGAACAGGAACTTCTACTGTGTCCAGTGCTACTATTTGTGAACTGTGATGCTTCATTCGACACTCCAAGATTGGTCGAGGACAACAATGCCACCTTTTCATCCCAGTATCTAAGACATTGCAGGTGGAAGTCAGACGCAAAACGATCACCCTATGGCTTCACGCCATCATTCTTCAGGTCTATGCGGCCCGGGACTGGACCCTCATTGAGCCAACAACCCGCATGAGATCCGGGCGGTCACCTGTAACATAACGCTTCACAGCAAATGTTCCATCCGTGCCATTATGGAAGGCTGCTTCCAGTGGACACAGTCTTCACCAGCCACTACTCGCAAGATGTTGCCTTAGAAGACGTGGAAGGTGTCCACAGCTTTGGCCCTTTTGTGGTTGCCGAGCAGGTCAGTGCCCCAGCATGTCTGGAGCCAACCTTTCGACCTCTCCCAGACACCCCAGACTAGAAGGTTACATGCTGCACGCATTGGTTCTAGACTTTAGCTTTGCTTAATTTTTATTACTGCAATTATATTTGGACATCACGCATACCTCACTCCCTCGTCTCCTACCGACAGGAAAGGTTACTCAATGCCAGACATCGCTGTTGCTGATTGGTTGGAGTCTATAGAATGTTTATTGAAGATCCCATCTGAAGGTATGCTGTCTGATAAAGATGCATTAAGGAGTTATGCAGGATAAGTTAAAATATCTAGTGAAATCTGGATATTTTTTATATTTGTATACTTATCCTGCATAACTTCATCTAAAGTGGCCCACCTGTTGCAGAGTTGCCCCCCATGATGTCTTCAGATGATCTGTTTTTAGCAGTAATGTGCGGATCAGTGATGTCACCTCTTCTGTGGTCAGGTGGGAGCTGTGTTAGCCACTCAACAAGGTGGAACAACTTCTTCTTCAGCAAGACCTCACACAGCGCTTTCTCTGTCAAGAACAAGCAGTGAATGCATTAAGGAGTACTGCAGGATAAGTATACAAATATAAAAACCATCCCTTTACTTGTATTAGGAATATTCACTGTGTATTTAGCTTGCCAAGGCTTGTTAAATACAATGTTTATTCCTAATACAGGATATTTACCATCCCTAAACACACCCACATGATAACCTCTATATACAGATGATGTGTTGTAATCTCAGTGTTTGGTATTAATCTACGCCAATGATATGTTGTAGTCTCCATGTTTGATATTAATTTTTGCCGATGATATGTTGTAGTCTCCGTGTTTGATATTAATTTATGCCGATGATATGTTGTAGTCTCCATGTTTGATATTAATTTATGCCGATGATATGGTGTAGTCTCCATGTTTGATATTAGTTTATGCCGATGATGTGTTGTAGTCTTCATGTTTGATATTAATTTATGCCGATGATATGTTGTAGTCTCAGTCTTTGATATTGATTAATGCCGATGATATGTTATTGTCTTCATGTTTGATATTAATTTATGCCAATGATATGTTGTAGTCTCCATGTTTGATATTAATTTATGCCGATGATATGTTGTAGTCTTCATGTTTGATATTAATTTATGCTGATGATATGTTATTGTCTCCATGTTTGATATTAATCTTTGCTGATGATATGTTATTGTCTCCGTGTTTGATATTAATTAAGCTGATGATGTGTTGTAGTCTTCGTGTTTGATATTAATCTATGCCGATGATATGTTGTAGTCTCAGTGGTTGATCTTAATCTATGCCGATGATGTGTTGTAGTCGTCATGTTTGATATTAATCTATGCCAATGATGTGTTGTAGTCTCATTGGTTGATCTAAATCTTTGCTGATGATGTGTTGTAGTCTTCGTGTTTGATATTAATCTATGCCGATGATGTGTTGTAGTCTTCGTGTTTGATATTAATCTATGCTGATGATGTGTTGTAGTCTCAGTGGTTGATATTAATCTTTGCCGATGATGTGTTGTAGTCTCAGTGGTTGATATTAATCTATGCCGATGATATGTTGTAGTCTCAGTGGTTGATCTTAATCTATGCCGATGATGTGTTGTAGTCGTCATGTTTGATATTAATCTATGCCAATGATGTGTTGTAGTCTCATTGGTTGATCTAAATCTTTGCTGATGATGTGTTGTAGTCTTCGTGTTTGATATTAATCTATGCCAATGATGTGTTGTAGTCTCATTGGTTGATCTAAATCTTTGCTGATGATGTGTTGTAGTCTTCGTGTTTGATATTAATCTTTGCCGATGATGTGTTGTAGTCTCAGTGGTTGATATTAATCTTTGCCGATGATGTGTTGTAGTCTCAGTGGTTGATATTAATCTATGCCGATGATGTGTTGTAGTCTCAGTGGTTGATATTAATCTATGCCGATGATGTGTTGTAGTCTCAGTGGTTGATATTAATCTTTGCCGATGACGTGTTGTAGTCTTCGTGTTTGATATTAATCTTTGTCGATGATGTGTGGTAGTCTCATTGGTTGATCTAAATCTTTGCTGATGATGTGTTGTAGTCTTCGTGTTTGATATTAACCTATGCCGATGATGTGTTGTAGTCTTCGTGTTTGATATTAATCTATGCCGATGATGTGTTGTAGTCTTCGTGTTTGATATTAATCTTTGCTGATGATGTGTTGTAGTCTCAGTGGTTGATATTAATCTATGCCGATGATGTGTTGTAGTCTTCGTGTTTGATATTAATCTATGCCGATGATGTGTTGTAGTCTTCGTGTTTGATATTAATCTATGCCGATGATGTGTTGTAGTCTCAGTGGTTGATATTAATCTTTGCTGATGATGTGTTGTAGTCTTCGTGGTTGATATTAATCTTTGCTGATGATGTGTTGTAGTCTTCGTGGTTGATATTAATCTATGCCGATGATGTGTTGTAGTCTTCGTGGTTGATATTAATCTATGCCGATGATGTGTTGTAGTCTTCGTGTTTGATATTAATCTATGCCGATGATGTGTTGTAGTCTCAGTGGTTGATATTAATCTATGCCGATGATGTGTTGTAGTCTTCGTGTTTGATATTAATCTTTGCTGATGATGTGTTGTAGTCTCAGTGGTTGATATTAATCTATGCCGATGATGTGTTGTAGGCAAGTTTTCCTTTCCTGCGATTGTGAATGGTTTGTCTGATCTCCTTCATGATGATGATCCAAACATCCGGGCAGTGGCTGCCATAGCTCTTGCCAAAGCAGGTGAGTGATAGCATGAGTAAGAGTGGAACTGCCTCCTGACACTAATCTGGACGAGTGTTGAAACTATACATTATGACTGAATTTGGCTAGTTAAATGTGGGACTTTTATTACCTGAATCTTACTTCACCACTATAGGCTTGATATGATTTGTTCTATTAAAGTAGTTGCAAGGAATGTCTATGACGACTCTCAAGAAGTCTTCATATTTACGCACTTCTAATGCTTGTGAGTTACATGTCAGTTACATCTCAACTCACTATTGTTGTAAAAAAATCATGCAATGAATAGCTTACAATATCAGAATCTCCACTGTGTTCACAAGTTCTATGTAAGCTGAAACTTGGCAAGTATGATCCCAGTGATAGTGTCACTGAAACATGCTCACAGAGTTATGATCTGATTTTAAACATGGCTGCCCCAGGGTCCCATGGAACTTGTCATTTTGCCCTTTCTTCAGACATTTCTGTATCATCACTGTAATGTGTTGATTCCCAAGTTAAATCGTGTTTTAAGGGACATAGAATGGATATACCGGTAACTCGTAATAGCCTCCGGGGGCGCTCCGATTGAGCCCAGAAATTCCAGCCTAGTTCAGCAGGGGTGGAAACTGGACTTTTATTGTCAGTTATCTCCTTTGCCTCAGGAAGATGACAGCTTCTAAAGTCTGTTGGTCCTGATGGCAGCCTGACAGTCTGGCATTTTTTATATTTCAAAGTTAAAGTTTCAGTCAACTTCAGTGTATTCATGATCAGATCGTTTTGTATGTGTACCTAAATAGTTTTTGCCAGGGCTGCATCAATACGATTCCCATTTAGACATTTTGTACCCAGCTCTCAAGACCTATATATATAAGGGGTGCCCAGATAGGGCCGGGTAATAGGGCATCAGGTAAATGGTTAGTAAATGTGGGCTCATCCAAGACCTACATGTTTTCATTCTGACCCATCTAAGGCCTTGACCATTCACATGTGTTAGATTATCTAGTTTTGCAGCATTTTGGACATCTTCCTTGAAAGCTTCTTCAGTGAAGCTGAAAATATCAATGATGATTATCAATTGTGGCCACAGACATATCATCTAATTTAAAACATGGTCATTTTAGCAACCTATAGAATTTGTCATATTAATTCCTCAGCTATTTATGTATGTAACATTTACAAATTTGATATGCAATAAGTATGTGGGATAAAAAATAATAAGACTTTTTTAGAGAATCAAGGTTTCTTTACCCCAGACCTAAGGCTTATCATTATGATAAATTCATGTTTTGTTGGAATCTAGTGGATAGAGCATATGCCAGGAGAGCGGAAGGTCGGTGGTTTGATCCTCGGCCATGTCATAAAAAAGATGTACTTGTTGTTACCCTGCCTGGCACTCAGCATTAAAGGGATAAAGCAAGGTCTGTCAGCTCGGAGTCAGTATACGACGTGGTATCTCAGTGGTCTAGAACTATGAAACCAGCATCGGTCTGGACTAGTACAAACATGTACACACATGTACCTGCTCGTCGTTGTATAAGTGCAATAATCTTAAACACAATGTTAAACCCCATTTCACCTCACATATTTTACTAGTCTCATCTACCCTTCTGTTGTGACCTTTATGAAATTATTGGAGAGAATTTCAGATGACCTAATGAGCCTTAAATTGTGGCTCCACCTTGTGTTAGTGTCGTGGCTTATAATGAATATCGAGTGTTGATTGTTAAGTTCTGAGGCTCACATAAAGGAGATTGTGTATTTGTGATATCTGTTGGTTGTGGACAATACATGATGTCACAGAGGTATGTACACAAAAGCTGGAGTCAATGGAACAAAGTGTTTCGGTATGACTACTCAGTAAAATAAACAGAGGTCTGTGACATTTGGACAAACTTGAGGAACATGCATGCGCAGTGATTAAGTTCAATCGAACCCCAGTATCTCGAAAATAGCAGGACCGTGTTGTAACTTCAAGATATCCAGACACTCGAAATAATGAGGCATGAACATCCTGACAGATCAACTAACAGTATTACAGGCAATGAACAATAAGAACTGTTACAAGTTATGACAGTGTAGGATTGATATAATGTCTACATGTACATGCACCTTCTTCATGTTCTTAGGCAATGCAGCTATCAGTGATGATGACATCATAGCAGCTGTGGAGAACCATTTGAATAGCCAAGAGAAGGTTAAAATCTCTCCAACATTGTTGGCAAAAGTTTTTCAATGTGGAAGAGGATTAATATGAAAAGTATATCATTATAATGTTTTTAGATCAAGTCTTTCTATGTGAATCACAGAACATACCAATCACCCCTTATATGTATATATCGAAAGTTGAGTGTCGTAGTCTTAAGTTTGCCTCATATTGCTTTTGTTGATGTGTCAGGCAAACAGAGGCGAGAAACAGTTGATAAGCTGATCAGCATCATGGAGGACGAGGATCGACTGGTGAGGGAAAGTGCATGCCTGTCTCTTGGATACCTCAAGTCCCAGAGAGCTGTCTCCTACATTGTAGACAGATGGTAGGTATACACAATCAGCCTCATATAAACAGCTGATATTTCTTCCAGATGATCAGCAAAATCTGCTGTAACCTTGGACCCTCACATAAATCAATCAAGTGTACTACATTGCAATGGCAGCCATATTAATAGAACAGCCTTTCCTGCATTTATTGTTTATGAAATTCATTGTGTAGAAGTATTTGGTATACCTTTACAACATGTGTTACAGATATTATATTGTTTTGAATCCCTTATGGATTCAGGTTTAAAAATGGTCTTTCATCAACCCGTGCTGGTTGTTAGGGGTGACTTCATGGATTGGGTGGTCAGGTACCTTGTCACATAATAGCAATCTCTGTTTTGTCTGATCTTCATTCATTTATATTCAACTGTCATATGACTGGAATATTGCTAAGTGGGGTATTAAACAGCAAACCAAAGGTTTTTGAGGTAAACTTTTACTTTTGGATTTTCTGTGTCCTTTGACCTTTACATGCCTCTTTTTAGGTTACCTGACTAAAAGTCAAGTGAGCTTATGTTGTGGCTGGTTCTCCTCAGAAAGCACTGGACCTATGAAGCTGAAGCTGAAATTTCACATGCTCATTCCTCCGTGAAGATCGGGGGTAGAGTAGGTCTTCAGCAACCCATGCTTGTCATAAGAGGTGACTAACAGGATCGGGTGGTCAGACTCGCTGACATGGTTTATGCATGTCATCGTATCCCAGTTGCGTGGATTGATGCTCATGATGTCAGTCACTAGATTGTCTGGTCCAGAGTCGATTATTTACAGACTGCCATCATATGGTGAGAATTTTGCTGAGTGCAGTGTTAAACAAACAAACAAACAACCAAGCATGCTTATTCCCACCAATGATGACACCCCAATTGTTCAAGAGGTTCGAATCTGTTCTCCCACAGCAGCCATATTGAAAAATCTATTTATGACCATTAGTGGGCCATTTGTTTGCAAAGTGTAATAAAATGTGGTGTTTGTTCAGTTGGTTGTGGGAACCAAGAGACGCTTTATTTTTCTTTTGTGATATTTTACATTTTGACCTTGACTGACCTTTGCACTTCAACCATTCTGCAAACTGAAACTCCTTAAAGGGGCATCTGCAGTAGGAACTACCGCACTCTAGTGGGCTCAGCTTATACGAGTGATCTGACAGGTCAATATGCATCATGATAACACATGAATTTCATTGGTTAATGTGTAAATGGGTGAGGTCATGTGAACACCCACCCACATGGGACGTTTGACAACAAGGATGTAAGTTTTAATGGGAATAAATATCCATCAAACGATTCCAGGTCTTTTCACCAAACACGTAGGTTTTTGGTTTCAAAACCTACCTGTTATGTCGTCTTCACATCTTCATAAAATGATACCTGGGAATGTCCACAATTTATCCAACACAGTCCAACACACTAATTATAGTTCTGAGCTATTCTCTGGACGAGAATGAAATACGTTTGTCGTGATGAATAAGAGCAGTGATATTGAACCAAAAAACATGATATGTGTCAAGGCACCAATCGTAATCCTGTGGTGTACTGTATATCTGCATTTTATGAATAGCATTTCTCACCATATATACATCTTCCCGAGGCAAGGGAGTTAACTTACTATAAAAGTCCAGTTTCCACCCTTGCCGAACTAGGCTGGTATTATGGAGTTACATTTTGTCTGGACTAACGAGTCTATGCATAGTCCAATCAAAATCGCGAACCGAAATCGAAATCTGCTTCGTAAACTGTCATCAAGATTTCGGTCGATTGCAGGATTTACAAAGCATGTGCACCGCCAACTCGTTGTCAACAGATATTTTCTAAATCTTTTCAAGTTTTTAATCAAGGTGCTCACATGATTTGATGCACTTCGTGATGTAAGACCCGTTTTATCACAATATTGATCTTGATTGTCGATCAGATCGTCTTGTCTGGGCGCCGCCTTTTTGTTTGAAACAAATGCAAGTGATGCGAGAGGTGGAATCTGATTGGTCCATAGGAGAGGCATAGAAGGGACATAACTCGTAACAGCCACTGGTGGCTCTACAATGGATCCCAGGAATTCCAGCCTAGTTCAGCAAGGGTGGAAACTGGACTTTTAAAGTCAGTTAACTCTCTTGATCCGGGAAGATGCATATATACGGCAATCGGTGATTTCAACAGTGTTTTTCTTCATCTTGCCTTCATCTGGAATCTGGATGACATCCATTGTGTAAAAAACCATGGTAAAGGTCTAAAATATTTTCAGATGATGAAAGTAGTTTCTTGACTTTTCTGTGACATGTTTTCATTGCCCAGAAGCAATGACTTTTGGCAAAGTCACACTTGTCCAAAAGCCCCTTATGCCGAAGTAACTCGATCCGTGAAACTTGGCGCGTCCCAGTGACCCAGATTCTCTGTTGATTGGCATGCCAAGTGTTATTTGCATAAGGCCATCCAAATTTTTTGTATGTGTTACTCCCCTCCAGCCTCAACTAACTAGAGAGTGGGCGGACGAAAGAAAATATATAACTAAAAAAATGTCTATCAATAATTGTGTAAGTTATTTTATGACATTTAAAAAAAGGTTTAAACACTTGGTAGTAGAATCTAGTCTATGAATTAATTTACGATGTAGATCAATTTGCTTTGCTTCAGAAACAAATATTTAATAAACAACTGAAGAAAGATAAAATTGACCTTGTTCTTTTATGACGGTGCACAGCATCATCACAAGATTCCTTCCAAATACCCACCATGTGATCAGGGTCACGACCTTGAGATGAATTAATAAGTTAATTTGCATTTTTAGAAAAGAAATGTTATTGTGAATACTATTATTAAAAAACATCCTGTACATGGTACTTTTTGATTGCACTGCGAATTTCTCTTTTTACTTGCTAAAACTTTTTGTTTTCCCCCTTCCTGACCACGCGATCTCCTAGCATGGAGAAAGTTCCAATTCAAGATGATGACATTCCGACCGTCACCAAATTGACAAGATGTTGCCTCTCTTCCCGCCCTTTCAAGTGCAACAGAGACTTTGACAAATTCACTTTGATCTTTTTGCGTATGTTTTTCTAAAAGCTTCTCCCGAAGTCAATTATTGTTCAAAACTGAAACATCACCACCTTGCGGGCTATTCATAGTCAGGGTGGGACTTTAAGGCCGTTACTCTGCCATTTTGGTTCAAAATGTAATAAAGTTTGGTTTGTAAACATGTAGGACTTACTATCTATTACATAGGACTTAGTATGGCCTAGAATCACTATCTCCTATGTAGGACTTATTATCTTTTATGTAGGACTTAGTATGGCCTAGAATCACTATCTCCTACGTAGGACTTACTATCTCTTACATAGGACTTATTATGGCCTAGAATCACTATCTCCTACGTAGGACTTACTATCTCTTACATAGGACTTAGTATGGCCTAGAATCACTATCTCCTACGTAGGACTTACTATCTCTTACATAGGACTTAGTATGGCCTAGAATCACTATCTCCTACGTAGGAGATAGTAAGTCCTACGTAGGAGATACTTAGACAAAAAACATTTTCACCGTGGCCCTACTACGCTTCCATAGTATTGCTGCCTCAATGCTGTTTTAAGAGACTTTTTGTTGGCATTTAAATTGTGGACTACGTATCCAGGTGAGCTTCAGTGCTGTGGCATTATCTAGTTTCACTGCTTTTAGATATCTCTATATGCATACCAATTTGACACCAGAAAAGCCAATAATTTGCATTTTGTTCCTGTTTAGGCGGAATGACCCCATCTCTACTGTGAGACAGGCTGCTGAACTGGCACTCAGCAAGATGAATGTCGAGGAAGCCCAGAAGTGTATTCAAGTCACCAAAGTTCTGTCTGCAGAAATGTCAGCTCTCAAACCTCAGCCAAAGAAGACTTGAGTTTGCCATTGAAATCTGCCCTGGGATAAGTCAGTGAAAATACTCACTTCCATATGATGCCTTGCTGCCTGTATGGTACCACAAGAACATTTTTAATCTCTTAACCTTTCAATTAATTCACTACATGATTCCTTTTTTTTCAAAGCCTGTCATGTTTGGAATAAGTCACCCGGCATGTTTCTAGCCCTAACATATAGTTCTACCAGATTAGTATCTAATGACCTTAAATGTAGTTCAACCAGATTAGTATCAAATGACCTAAAATGTTGTTCTACCAGATTAGTATCATGTGTTGTACTGTTGCCATGTTATAGGAAACATTCCATGATATGTATTGTACTGTTGCCATATTACAGGAAACATCCCATAAGATGTGTTTGTACTGTTGCTATGTTATAGGAAACATCCCATAAGATGTGTATTGTACTGTTGCCATGTTACAGGAAACATCCCATAAGATGTGTATTGTACTGTTGCCATGTTACAGGTAATATCACATGATATGTATTGTACTGTTACCATGTTACAGGAAACATCCCATAAGATGTGTATTGTACTGTTGACATGTTACAGGAAACATTCCATGATCTGCATTGTACTGTTGCCATGTTACAGGATACATCCCATAAGATATGTATTGTACTGTTGCCATGTTACAGGTAATATCACATGATATGTATTGTACTGTTGCCATGTTACAGGATACATCCCATAAGATATGTATTGTACTGTTGCCATGTTACAGGTAATATCACATGATATGTATTGTACTGTTGCCATGTTACAGGAAACATCCCATAAGATGTGTATTGTACTGTTGCCATGTTACAGGAAACATCACATGATATGTATTGTACTGTTGCCATGTTACAGGATACATCCCATAAGATATGTATTGTACTGTTGCCATGTTACAGGTAATATCACATGATATGTATTGTACTGTTGCCATGTTACAGGAAACATCCCATAAGATGTGTATTGTACTGTTGCCATGTTACAGGAAACATCACATGATATGTATTGTACTGTTGCCATGTTACAGGAAACATCCCATAAGATGTGTATTGTACTGTTGCCATGTTACAGGAAACATCACATGATATGTATTGTACTGTTGCCATGTTACAGGAAACATGCCGTAAGATATGTATTGTACTGTTGCCATGTTACAGGAAACATCCCATAAGATGTGTATTGTACTGTTGCCATGTTACAGGAAACATTCCATGATATGTATTATACTGTTACCATGTTACAGGAAACATCCCATGATATGTATTGTACTGTTGCCATGTTACAGGATACATCCCATAAGATGTGTATTGTACTGTTACCATGTTACAGGAAACATTCCATAATATGTATTATACTGTTGCCATGTTACAGGAACATCCCATAAGATGTGTATTGTTCTGTTGCCATGTTACAGGACACATCCCATAAGATGTATATTGTACTGTTACCATGTTACAGGAACATCCAATAAGATATGTATTGTACTGGTGCCATGTTACAGGAAACATCACATGATATGTACTGTACTGTTGCCATGTTACAGGAAACATCCCATAAGATGTGTATTGTACTGGTGCCATGTTACAGGAAACATCACATGATATGTATTGTACTGTTGCCATGTTACAGGATACATCCCATAAGATATGTATTGTACTGTTGCCATGTTACAGGAAACATCCCATAAGATGTGTATTGTACTGTTGACATGTTACAGGAAACATCCCATAAGATATGTATTGTACTGTTGCCATGTTACAGGAAACATCCCATGATATGTATTATACTGTTGCCATGTTACAGGATACATCCCATAAGATATGTATTGTACTGTTAGCATGTTACAGGAAACATCCCATGATATGTATTGTACCGTTGCCATGTTACAGGATACATCCCATAAGATATGTATTGTACTGTTGCCATGTTACAGGAAACATCCCATGATATGTATTGTACTGTTGCCATGTTACAGGAAACATCCCATAAGATGTGTATTGTACTGTTGCCATGTTACAGGAAACATCACATGATATGTATTGTACTGTTGCCATGTTACAGGAAACATGCCGTAAGATATGTATTGTACTGTTGCCATGTTACAGGAAACATTCCATGATATGTATTATACTGTTACCATGTTACAGGAAACATCCCATAAGATATGTATTGTACTGTTGCCATGTTACAGGAAACATCCCATAAGATGTGTATTGTTCTTCTGCCATGTTACAGGACACATCCCATAAGATGTATATTGTACTGTTACCATGTTACAGGAACATCCCATAAGATGTGTATTGTACTGGTGCCATGTTACAGGAAACATCACATGATATGTACTGTACTGTTGCCATGTTACAGGAAACATCCCATAAGATGTGTATTGTACTGGTGCCATGTTACAGGAAACATCACATGATATGTACTGTACTGTTGCCATGTTACAGGATACATCCCATAAGATGTGTATTGTACTGGTGCCATGTTACAGGAAACATCACATGATATGTATTGTACTGTTGCCATGTTACAGGATACATCCCATAAGATATGTATTGTACTGTTGCCATGTTACAGGAAACATCCCATAAGATGTGTATTGTACTGTTGCCATGTTATAGGAAACATTCCATGATATGTACTGTACTGTTGCCATGTTACAGGATACATCCCATAAGATATGTATTGTACTGTTGCCATGTTACAGGAAACATCCCATAAGATATGTATTGTACTGTTGCCATGTTACAGGTAATATCACATGATATGTACTGTACTGTTGCCATGTTACAGGAAACATCCCATAAGATGTGTATTGTACTGTTGCCATGTTACAGGTAATATCACATGATATGTACTGTACTGTTGCCATGTTACAGGAAACATCCCATAAGATATGTACTGTACTGTTGCCATGTTACAGGATACATCCCATAAGATATGTATTGTACTGTTGCCATGTTACAGGAAACATCCCATAAGATGTGTATTGTACTGTTGCCATGTTACAGGAAACATCCCATGATATGTATTGTACTGTTGCCATGTTACAGGAAACATCCCATAAGATGTGTATTGTACTGTTGCCATGTTACAGGAAACATTCCATGATATGTACTGTACTGTTGCCATGTTACAGGAAACATCCCATAAGATGTGTATTGTACTGTTGCCATGTTACAGGAAACGTCCCATGATATGTATTGTACTGTTGCCATGTTACAGGAAACATCCCATGATATGTATTGTACTGTTGCCATGTTACAGGAAACATCCCATTAGATGTGTATTGTACTGTTGCCATGTTACAGGAAACATCTAATGCATCACGTCTGCACTAGCAGTAGTAGTGGTTTATTTCAGTAAGTCAGGCCACAGGCCCATTTTACAATATATATATTCAAGCATTCAAACATGTTGCGCCACAAGTGCATGTAGTAATATCAATACTAATCAGTACAAGGGTATCTGAGACTATATACATATGGTGGTAGAATTAGTAGTTTATATAATGGACAACTGCTTGCTCCTCATTTTAAGAGCAAAGAATGTAAACTTGGCAAGATTATTGATTTTGAAAGCATTTCTGGTGGTAAATAAGACCTTACATTTATGCTCTGACGGAGATGTATAATAATAACTTGGCAGAAATTTTCTTCTAAGATCGTCATAAAACAGACAAACTAAACAAACATGGTATTCTGTTTCTACACTTGGAATGATACAAAATGGACAAAGTCTTTCACACTTTGGAATACCTAACTTTCTACCCTGTGATACCATAATATCACTGCTCGACGTGCGAAACTGTGAGAGAATAATCCTAAATGCAGCAATATTCACAACACTTAAATAATTTTCATATTCATTTGATAGCTTAATTGTTTTATACAAATATAATGAAGATAATTTGTCAAAAGATTCAAAGAGACACTGGTTATCAATATCAATACATTTTGTTCCAAAAGCGGATATAAATGAATGGATACAAGAAACTGATTGTCTATTCCAAATTTCACCATATCCAAAGGAAAATAACAGATTTTTAACCTTCAGTGCCCAGCAATCTAGACCCTTTTCTGCCCGGTCAAACTGGTACACATACGTGTGATATAATATACTGTTTTCGTTCTGAGTTAATAAACGCAGCCAGTACTTAATAATTTTCAGATGTTGGTTTACTTTTAAGGAGTATCTCCCAAGTTCAGCTCTTGCTACAATATTAGGAACAGTTCTTCTCAGTTTCAAAATAAGCTTGCAGAATTTGTCATGAACATTTACAATATCTTTAGAGGGAATGAAATCCACTTATCTCTGAGCCATATAATAATATTGGCAGTACTTTAACATAAAAAATACGAAGTAACATTTTCAGGGGAAGTTTGTGAAAATTGTACATATGTGATTGTAACAATAATATTACCTTCCAAGCTTGTTGGGATAATATCTTTTGAGTTTTATACCAGGAACCCGAGCTGGAAAAATGTACTCCAAGATATTTATAACTGGGGACTATCTCAAGAGGGCTGCCATTAAGAAAAAACTTTTCATAGCTTTTAAGCCTACCTGCCTTATGAAAAATAATGATTTTACTCTTGGTAGAATTAACTCTTAATTGCCACTTATTGCAATAATCCACCAACTTATCTAAACGTTTTTGTAACCCGAGAACAGTGCTATCAAATAGGATAATGTCATCTGCAAATAAGAGTATGAAGAGATCCAGCAAGTCTAAATTAACACAGTATTGCTTATCCACACTCAAAAACTGTACTATATCATTTACAAAAAATGAAAATAGGAAAGGTGACAACTGGCAACCTTGTCGTACACCAAAAGGACAGTCAAAGAAGGGAGTACATCTATTGTTAACCAAAACACATGACTTCACATTTTGATACATATTATTCAAAAGTCTAAACATTTTCCCCTTTACATTACCAATCCACAATTTATAAAATAAAGATGGTCTATGAACAGAGTCGAAGGCTGCTTTCAAATCTATGAAAGCACAATAAAGTCTACCTTTATATAATGATAAGTATTTCTGTATGATAGTATCAATTACAAAAACATTATCTACCGTTTGAAAACCTTTTCTAAACCCTGACTGTTCAGGAATAATAAAATTTTGATTTTCAGCCCATTTAGAAACATCTAATAATATTTATTGTATTGCTGCTTGGTAAGATGAGATGTTTATTGGCATTATGTCTGTGATGTCTACAGCGTATTCAAGAGGGTTCTTTTGTAACTTTTTCATAACAGTTGCATAAACGCCTTTGTCAATAAGAGCTAGTACAAAATATTGTGCCAATAATACAGTTAAAATGATTATGCCCTGTTTACCATTTCCTTCAGTTACAAGTACACACAACCACACTAATTCATTGGAAAATGTAATATAAGTTATTGCACTATGGATAAAAGAATAATTCGTAAAGTCTGTATGTTATTGTTCTTGATTGAAAATGTGAATATTTTGCACAAAGGCAGAAGTTATGTGCTTTCACCAGTTTTTTGTTGTTGGCACAACAGGAACTCGGAATTGAGCTTCAGCTGTAGGATGCATTCTGGAATGTCTTTAGTATAAATAAACATTTGAATCATAATGTTTATTATTTAATAGCCGTTAAACTGTGCATTTAGAAGGAACATAAAAGTTTAGAAATATTTTTTTTTCCACATACGAGTCTGCATAGATGGTTTTTTGAGTTAACCTTTTCAGTTGGAGATACTTGATTCCATCTTGAACAACGCTGCTCACCTCGTAACAATCGGAAAGGAATGAGCTTTTATGGCACCTTGCTGTCTCTGTAAGGACGTGCTGAGTCGTCCTAGAAGGCAAAGTTCTGATCTGAGCACTGAGCAAATGGGATGACCACAGGATGCAAAATTAGGACCACGCTGACAGGTCTTGTTCCCTTGCCCAATCATGAGACACGTCCTGTTGTCTTAAGGTGATGGTAAGCCATGATGCTGCCACCAACGTACCTATCATGCTCTTGGAGTGCTGCCTAATGGTACATCTCTCTTGATGACCTCAAAGCAGGTGTGCCCACTGTTGTCTGAGATGCCTGTGTGCCAGGCATTCCTCAGAAAGGTCAGCAAAAAAGGCATCCATACAATCTTCAGCTACTGAGAACACAATGAAGGTTGAAAAAGTGTCTCTTTCTGGTTCAAAATCCACTGAGAGACACTTTGGTGACAAATCGGTATGAAAGGAGGTGCCTTCTCCCCAAAAGATGGGAGATCTCGTTGCCTGTCCCACCCTCCCACAGATAAAAGGGAGCAGACGTTCCTTTCTAGTCTCAGGAACACTGACATGCTCACGGGCCTTTTGAGTGAAGTGGTTCCTGTAGGTCTGAAAGAGCCGCAGAGGCCCATGCGATACCACACGTCCCATTTATCCTGAAAGAGTTCTCAGAACCATTACCTCATCCATGACAAACTTGGATTACCGAGACACCATGCATGACTCACCCCAGCACATGTGTTTCTGTCACTAACACTGCCTCTTCCTATGATGCTGAAACCTCATACTGGCATTATGCCCCACCAACAGGAAAGATCAGGGAATCAAGTCATTTATTGAGTGGGTGGGTTATAAAAAGCAAGTCATAAGGTTGGAAGAATGTTACACTCTACCATTCTCACCCTATACCATCAATGTCATCAGGTAGATTGATGTGTTTAAGAACAGGTCTGGCCATATCCTGAAGATGCAGGATGGTCTTCAATCGGTGCAAGTATTGTTGTCTGCCAAATCGTGCAACGCCATATCTCATACAGCAAATACGCCAGCAGATCCAAGAGCCGTCGAAGAAGAGTTTACTTCTCCACCATCACCCTGGCTTCTATGATACAGGAACGACTGTCCGATTTTGAAAGTCAGCGAGATCTTTCCAAATGAAGATATGTCACGTCGGGATATGATTATTTTTCTGCCCCAGATATATTGTCAAAACCAGAGACCAGCTACACAAACAACGAGCAGTCCTTTTTGCAGAGGCAGAGGCAAGTGACTCACATCAGGTTCAGCTTATCACTCACATCTCAAACTCATGTCGGCCTTGCTTGTCTCACGACAGCCCCGGGAGAAGTCAGGGATCGCCTCATGCAATACGCCCAAAATTGGAAGTTAATAACGGACGACACCTGGCAGCTGGAGGTTGTAAATGAAGGTACAAGCTACCTTTCCCAGGTCTTATGGTCCATCCTGTAAAGCGCTGATTCCTTCTCGGAGGGACCAAGCTTATCGCCACAAAATGCTTCTGGACAAAGGAGCCATCAGGGCTTTAGAAGAGTCATACATCATCCAAGGATTCCACTCAACAATCTTCTTGGTTTCGAAATAAAATATATCGGAAATGCTCATGATAAATCAACTTGAAATTACTCAACAAGGACTATCTAGTTCATCGTCACAAGTTCCAAAAAATATTAACGAATGCCCTCAGACGAGGAGATTGGATGATAAGCCTGGACAACTGGATGACTTTCAGGACGCCTATTTTCACGTCCCCATCCATTTAAGTTACCAACATTATTTACAAGTTGTAGTCAAGAAGCAGAAGAATGCGTTCAACGTTCTATCGTTCACCACATCCGATCGCCTTATGGCTATTTACCAGGATTTTCACCCCTTTTATCGCGTTTGCTCATCTAGAGCTTGACTACAATTTTTGAGAGGCGGCCCTACATGTGGCCGTCGAGAATGGACATGAGCTGCATGTAGACGATTCTAATCGATTTCTAATCGTCTGACCCGTAACTCGTATTCCAGTAGCCAGATAAAAGTTTTCAACAATTTGATTCGCCCGCTTGAGCTCGATTTCGTTCAGCTTGCTTTCGGACCAATCGATCATGTATTCTCGTACATATTTTGGGTTTGTTAGTACCTGTTTCAGAGACTGTGAAACATATTGAACATATTATCCACCTCATGCTGACTTCTGCCAGTTTCCAGAATGCCAATAAACCGTAGACGCACTCCGCATTGGAGTTCATATCTTGGAGACCCGTGGAGATCCGGGGTAGAAGAGGTCTTCAGCAACCCACACTTGCTGTAAAAATCGACTCTGCTTGTCGTAAAAGGCGACTAACGGGATCTGGTGGTTCATCTTCCCGAGGCAAGAGAGTTAACTGACTTTAAATGTCCAGTTTTCCCTTGCTGAACTTGGCTGGAATTTCTGGGCTCGATCGTAGCGCCACCAGTGGCTATTACTAGTTATGTCCCTTCTATGCCTCTCCTATGGACCAATCAGATTCCACCTCTCGCATTACTTGCATTTGCTTCAAATAAAATGGCGGCGCAAAGACGATCTGATCGATAATCAAGATCTATATTGTGATAAAACGGGTCTTACATCGCAAGGTGCATCAAATCATGTGAACACCTTGATTAAAAACATGAAAAGATTTGGAAAATATCTGTTGACAACGAGTTGGCGGTGCACATGCTTTGTAAATCCTGCAATCGATCGAAATCTGCAAGACAGTTTACGAATCGGATTTCGCTTTCGTTGCGCGAGTGTGATTGGACTATGCATAGACTCGTTAGTCCAGCCAAAATGTAACTCCATAATACCAGCCTAGTTCGGCAAGGGTGAAAACTGGACTTTTATAGTCAGTTAACTCTCTTGCCTCGGGAAGATGCGGGTGGTTAGGCTCGCTGACTTGGTTGATGCATGTCATTGCGTGGATCGATGCTTAGGATGTCAATCACTTGATTGTCTGGTCCAGACTCGATTATTTACAAACTACCATCATATAGCTGGAATATTGCCGAGTGCGGCGTTAAACAACAAATAAGCAAACAAGGAAACATATCTTGGATACTAGATGGTCCCCCTGGTCTTTTTTTTTATACTGGCTATGATGTAATAGATTTAAGCTATTCAAAGGGATTATAGGTCCAAAATTGAAAAATACACACTACATTTCGACAAAACTTATCACACAAAAGAAAACATTCACATGCCTATGTGATGAACATGAATACTTTTACTGCAGTCATTATGCTTCAACTACGCAGTTTTACTCAACAGGACTCGCACACATTCAATTTTATTTCGTGGATTTACCCCAATTCATTATTGTTTCCGCATATTTAAAGACGCCTTATTCCATCTGTCTGATCAGGCCTCAAATCAGATAGAGAATGTCCCACAGACTCAGACTACGATTACATCTTCTGCTCGTAGGACAATGTAAATGGCAAGTTGGGTCCTCTTGGTTGAAGTTGATAATACGTATAACAATTATCAGACGTGTTAAAATCCTGCACAAGCTTTTTTTTCTTCCTTACACCCTCGAGTTTTGGAAATACATAATTATGACTAAATGAGTAAAAAAGCCGTTTTTCAGGGTTTTTCTTCAACTCCTAAACATTCATCATGGGTAAAGTACTTGTTCATGTTGAAATATTAGAACATGTTAACAATACGTGTAATGAGTCTGCTCGTGATACTGCTTCAAAGTACTCTCAGTTGTTGTAAAGAGAGTTTGACACAATAACATTGTCAATTACATTTGACCCAGAAGGGACATGACTGTGAAATCCCAGGTCGGAGCCTCACCTCCCATTCAGGATTGATATATCGAGAATACCACATAGGTTTTAAAGAATTGTACCTGCAGGGTTTACTGTGGTATCACAAGACTATCTGTCAATGTTAATATTATCCCTTAAATCTGAGATATCTTCATCTCCTAGGATCTCAGCTTTGTCGTCTTCTATTTGATCACTATTTGATCACCCCGCCACCTGCTTCACTGCATCAAACAGTTCTACCGCCTGAACATCTCCCCCGCCAGCTGCTTCACTGCATCAAACAGTTCACCGCCCGAACATCTCCCCCGCCAGCTGCTTCACTGCATCAAACAGTTCTACCGCCTGAACATCTCCCCCGCCAGCTGCTTCACTGCATCAAACAGTTCTACCGCCTGAACATCTCCCCCGCCAGCTGCTTCACTGCATCAAACAGTTCACCGCCCGAACATCTCCCCCGCCAGCTGCTTCACTGCATCAAACAGTTCTACCGCCTGAACATCTCCCCCGCCAGCTGCTTCACTGCATCACACAGTTCACCGCCCGAACATCTCCCCCGCCAGCTGCTTCACTGCATCAAATAGTTCTACCGCCCGAACATCTCCCCCGCCAGTTGCTTCACTGCATAAACAGTTCTACCGCCTGAACATCTCCCCCGCCAGCTGCTTCACTGCATCAAACAGTTTCACCACCCGAACATCTCCGCCAGCTGCTTCACTGTATCAAACAGTTCACCGCCCAAACATCTCCGCCAGCTGCTTCACTGTATCAAACAGTTCCACCGCCCGAACATCTCCCTCGCCAGCTGCTTCACTGCATCAAACAGTTCCACCATCCGAACATCTCCGCCAGCTGCTTCACTGTATCAAACAGTTCCACTGCCCGAACATCTCCGCCAGCTGCTTCACTGCATCAAACAGTTCCACCACCCGAACATCTCCGCCAGCTGCTTCACTGTATCAAACAGTTCCACTGCCCAAACATCTCCGCCAGCTGCTTTAAACAGTTCCACCGCCCGAACATCTCTGCCAGCTGCTTCACTGCATCAAACAGTTCCAC